GTTGTATATATTGTGTATTGTTATCATTGTATCTATGATTTGGGGTTTGTATTTCTCGTTTAATGTTTTGTCAATAAAATATGTTGGATAGTCGTTTTTTATTAAGTGTTTACAAAATATAACTATTTTATTTTGTAGATTTTCTTGCAGTGGGCGAAATACCCATATAGGATTTTTTGGAGATACTATGGTAGAAATATATCCACATTTTACTGTAACCCGCCGAAAAAGTATACACGTTTCATTATTGTTTTATTTCTTCAAAACTAAAAAAGTAAATATTTTTCCCACCTACTTTCAAATTAATAAATAACAGCCCCTCTTCTAAAATAAATAGGTGTTTTTGAACAAATTCTGTTTAGATAATAAATATATTTTTTTTAAACTAGGTAATTACTGTATTTAACTCAAGTAATTTATACACACGTACTATAATCAAAGATCTTTAAAGATAGTTTTTTCACTTAAACATTTAAACAAATTAAAATCAGTTTTTATTACAACTGTAACACAAACATGAGAAGCTTTATACTAAGGGCTGGCAAAGGTTAGTCTTGGGTCGAGATTTCCGTATGTAAGAAGAGTACAATGCGTTTATAATGTACTGAACAAAGAGAGGATAGTAAACACGTTGCCAAACGTATGAAATAAACCGAGAAACTGTGCACATCGCTAAGAGACGTGGAAGGGGATATAGCAGATTTGTCGCAGTTGACCGGTCGACCCAATCAATACCTCTGTCAGTTGTCAGTACTTAAAGATCTAGGGAAAGGTGTACGTCATGCGTTCAGCTTCATTCATCGATTTAATTACGTCTCGTGATTTGTTTATTTATTAACGAGTCGTTGTAATTTTCCATATAGCTTGAATTTTTTTAAGTGCAAGCTAGAAACACTTGCATTTTTGCTAAAAATAAGCGGAATTGAGTGGGTGTTCGATAGTGGTCGCACTATCAGAACTCTGAATTCAAAAATCGATATCTCGAAATCTATTAGAAATAACAGATTGCAGTTGTTTCAAGAACTTTGTTAATATTTCTGCTGTATTTTCTTTCTAGACAGTATGTGAAAATCTTTATCAAATAAAAAAATTAAACGATTGCTGAAAATTGCTATGCTCTAAAAGTAAATGGATGGATTGTTTACAATTTTTGAATAAAAAAAACAACCATATCGAATTTTTCTTATGTAAACATATTGAAAAATATCCGATCTTGAAAATAAAAAAAAGTTTCAATATCTAAAGTGGTTCTTGAGTTATGGCCTGTTATGTGTTAAAAAGTTGAATTTTTAAATTATCGCGATTACTGACGTTTTCTCTTCATAAAAAAAATTACACCCTAACGATATCCTTATAATTCCATTTCAGATGCTCAGAAACAGTACAATTAGTGAAATGATATTATCTAGTTATCTCTTGAAAAAAAGTCTTTTAAAAATAAGCGGTTTGCAATCGTGATTTTACTTTACTTGAGGGGGAAAGGCGTATCGGCAACGCCGCAACAGCACACCGTCGCGTGTCACGTCGGTCGGTCGCATTTCTCTCACTCCGACTTGATCCCTATGCGATTTACTTCCACATGTAAATGCCGACCCAAAAGTAACAGTTGCCAGCACGGTATACATAATACACCGTGAAAGTTTCCTACTTTGTTCTACTGTTTTGTTACTGCTACTACGACTAATGTTTAATGAGTATTTAAGCATATGAACTACAAACTACTCAACAAACATATCTTAAAATTGGTAAAACTGAGACAGCCATGAGCAAAACTTTAGTTCATGCTAACTGTATGTGCAACTAGTAAATTGATTTGGTATCTATACAGGGTGGCGCACCTCATTCGCATCGGTTGATTATTGAGTATACGAAAACGGAAAGATGTAGAGACAAAATATTTTATGGGTATATGTGGGAAGGCAATGTGCAGAATTTAAAATTATTTTATATAATATATATTTTATTTTGAAATATACAGGGTGTTTCAGAACTAAGATCCATACCAAAGTTATATTTTTTCTTATGGAACACCCATATTTTATTTCATTTTTGGATTCTTGGGCCCAAAAAAGGCATTAATTATGAAGGGTTAAATATGTTTAAAATCTTTGGTTTTTGAGATACCTATTTAAAGATATTTAAATTTGTATGCTACTATAAAATAGACTCGAAAATAGATTATTAGCACCCTGTACATTACTTTTTAGTATTAATTCTTGTGCTGAGTTTAAAGTTAGAGAAATAAACTTTGCTGAAAAATTTTATTGCTTCCTTAAATTTATACAGGGGTATCAAAAATTGCTGATCAATTTTAGGGATATATTTTACATAAAAACTTCGTTATTTCAAATATAACGCTCTGAAATTTTTATAATAAATCGAAGAAGATTCAAATGCTCTTTCAAACTGGGGTTTCCTATACCTATCTAATTCAGATTTTGAATAAAAAGCAATTTTTCTAGTGTCATCTACGCAAGTGTCATCATGGCAAGTTTTTAGTGACAGTTAGTAGCTATTTTCAAAATCAAAATTAGTTTATGGACTTAATATTTACTTATTTAAATTTATACCAGTTTACTTTTATTTAATTTACCCCTACAATAGTTTAATAAATAATATTTATTAAATATACAGGGTTTCTCACCGTAGCCGTTCGTTAGGAGTTTTTGAGGTTAGGAAAAACTTAGAAGTTTGAAATTTTGAGACTTAGGGTTATTTAAAATTTCCTTTCATTTAAAAATATTTTCAAGGTCATACCACTTCCGGTTACACCGGAAGTCGCCATTAACTTCCTTATTTCAAATGGAACACCCTGTATATTATTTAATTTTTGGATTTCTCAGAAAATGTTATGATGAGTTTTATTAGATTTCCCTATACCTATTTTCAATTGTTTCTCAGATATCTTGATTTATTTGAAAATTTTTACATTTTTGCCCCTATTTTTAACAGTGGGTCTTTCTTTTTAATCCGTATATTTTACTTTAATTCAATTTTTGGCAGAATCGACAAAATCGTTTGTGTTTTTTCAAATAAAATAATTATGTTAAAGTAATGAAATTGAAAGAGTAATTAGAACATACGAACAAAACAGGAACAAAACGAAAGTGAAAACGTATAAAATATAATATAACATAACAAAACAAACGTATAACAGTAACGGTGAGGCATTAATTATTAACACTAGACGTTAGTGTAGCGCTACCATAATAAAAAAGTAAACACAATAATTACAAAAATTATTGTTCGAAGTGAACGAAAATTTTTGTAATTATTGAGTTAACTTTTTTTTATTATTGTAGGGATACGCTAACGTCTAGTATTAATAATTAAGGCCCCACCGTTACTGTTGAAAATACGTTTGTTTTGTTATGTTATGTTATGTTATATTTTATACGTTTTCACTTTTGTTTTGTCCCTGTTTTGTTCGTATGTTCTAATTACATTCAATTTCTTTACTTTAACATAATTATTTTCTTTTAAAAAACACAAACGATATTGTCGATTCTGCCAAAAATTGAATTAAAGTAAAAAATACGGATTAACAAGAAAACCGTTGAAAATGGGTATAGGGAAAGTTATAGCAAATGGATGCAGAATTGAATTCTGCATCCAACTATCGAAAAATATACAGGGTGTCTCATTTAAGAAAATGAACTATTTTGAGTTTGAAAATAATCTAATCAGTTATCAAATTTTGGACACCCTGTATGCAATAAATTAATTGTCAATATGGATTTCGAAAGTATTAGTCCTCTGCTTCGGTTTACCGCAGAAGCGTTTATCACCGATTCAAAATGAGTAAAAGACCGACTGTTAAAAATAGGGGTAAATCTGTAAACATTTTCAAACAAATCAAGATATCTGACAAACAATTGAAAATAGGTATAGGGAAACCTAATGAAACTCATCATAAAATTTTCTTAGAAATCCAAAAATAAAATAATATACAGGGTGTTTCATTTAAAATAAGGAAGATAATGGCGACTTCCGGTGTAACCGGAAGTGATGTGACCTTGAAAATATTTTTAAATGAAAGGAAAGGTTAAATAACCCTAAGTCTCAAAATTTCAAACTTCTAAGTATTTCCTAACCTCAAAAACTTCTAACGAACGGCTACGGTGAGAAACCCTGTATACATCTAAGCTTACAGCAAAGTGTTTTTGTTTATCCAAAATGCTCGTCTCATTTTTTCCACAGGGTGTTTTAAATTTGTTGCAAAAAACAACGTTTTGATTTACGCCGGTATAAACCCACCTAACCGAAGATTATAAGCCATTAAAATAATATAAATAATAAATCTTCACACTGCTCTACCATAATCATAAAAATCAACTTACAAAATAAAAAGTTATGAAACATCAAACTTAGACAAATTTTTATGATGACGGAATTTTGTGTCGGGGAGTTTATACAGGGTGGGCCAATGGAAACTTTCCACCCCAATTTTTCTCGTTTAAAATTAAAATTTGGAAAAACGCTCGGACACGTCGATTTAGTTTTCGAGGGGTAAAAGAAAATATCATAAAATTACTTTCACACCTATAATCCCCAAGGCGGGGGCGGCGCCATCCCTAAATTCTTAAATGGAAAGGGGGGCCGTGCGATACATCATGTGAAAGGTCTTTCAATTCCCTTTTTAATGATATAAGATATCATGTACTTTCGTTCAGTAGTTTTAGAGATTTATTGATTTAAAGTAGATTTTAATTTATCAGCTGAGTGGTGAAAAAATCGGTTTTTATTTTTTTTTCACTCTCTCTGTATGTATTTTTTTGGCAAACTATGTATACTAAAAATTTTAACTAATCAATCTGCATCGCTCCACGCCCAAAATTCTTTCAATTCGGAATAAGTGAAAAATGTCCAATTGTGGCCGGGAAGTTTTTCCAAATTTTAATTTTAAACGAGAAAAATTTGGGTGGAAAGTTTCCATTAGCCCACCCTGTATGTTTTAATGATGGTATTCTAAAGTATAATTTAAAATTGAACTAACTAACCTCCTTCATTATCCTGGCATGCTGACTGTGGACCATTTTGATCTCCTCACTCCTATCGGTACACGGTTTCTCGTACATCTCCATTCGAAAAAAGCTGTGCTCACCGATCTCTAAAATTATTGAACAGATATACACCAAATTGACAAAAGCAAATCGAGTTTTCCGATAACTAAACAGCGAACATCTGAGTCTCGAGCGCGTTCCTGCAAAAGTTTTATCGCGCTCGCGATTTGTTTGGTACTACGACTGTACGACCGTCGGGAAGCTTCTGTAGCGTGTACCTGATGCCAATATTTACAGAACGCTATGTGCTACCTACTCGTTCGTGTTTCGTATACGTATTCAAAACAAAAGTTCAAAGACAGCGGGGATTCCTCATCACCCTTGACTCGTTTTTCAGTTGTATTTGGTCGAAGAACAGAAAACCTGAATTAGGACTAATTAAATAGTCACTGCACGTCACAGAGACGAATATATGTCGGTGTTAAAAAAACCTTAGATTAACAATAAGTTAAAACTGGGTATTAGTCGAAAATTCAATCTTCTGGAAAAAAACGAAATAAATATATTTATTTTTGCAACTAAGTAATCAGTTCATCAGATGAACAGTGTAGGGTAGAAGCACCGGTTGGGGCCAGGTTAAGGGATTTTTAGAGTTTGACTTATCAGAAAAAATATTTGTAGTTAATTTTGGAGATAAAACAAAGTTTTTGGTGCTTCTCCAAACATTTTTCTTTCAAAATCTGCTTTTATTGTAAAGATTTGTATTCTTAATAAACAGAAAATAATTATTTTATGAAAACATACGATTTTTCCCATTTGTGGCCACCTTGTGCCAAATGTGGCCACATTTGCTACCATTTGTGGCCACATTCTTGCAAAAATATTTAAAATATTTAAAATACTAAAATAGTAGTTTTTTTTAATTGACGATTGTGTGCGTGCAGGTGTCAAAATTTTTCCGAAAATTTGTGTGATTTTCCGTAGCCCGATCTTTCAATTATTTTATTTCATATGGTATATATGGTCTATTTTTTAATGGGAAATTTTGAGAAGTAGCAATTTTTAACAGAGATGAGATGAACTTAGAATTAATTTTAAAAATACATATTTGTATAGATGTTTTAATAATACGAATTAGTTGAACTTAATAATCATATTTAAGTAATGTGGTTAAGTAAATGGGGTTCTCGAACTCAAACTATGGGGTGAGAAAATTAAATTGGAAGTTTTACACGTGCCAATTTAAAAAAAAAGTTAACAATGTTTGTTTTTTGTTTATGCTAATTCTCTTACATGTAGTTTTTTGCGAAGAAATATTTAATTTATTTTTTAAAGTAAATGCCATTAAAGGTAAATATTATTTTTAAATAGTAATATAAAGTACCTAATATAAATAATTTTGATTTCTAATTTTTTATTTATATTTTCCTTCCATTACACTGCATGCTTAGAAAATTAATAAATGTTTATATTTCATGATTTTAAAGTTTGTTGTTAATATAACAAATTAGTTCTGTAATTATTATTATTTAATAAACCAACGTTGCCACAAAAAATTTAAAGACTATATTATTTTTAAATAGGATCTAATATAAATAATTTTGACATCTAATTTGTTGTTTATATTTTGCTACTACGTAAAAAAATGTTTATATTAAATAATTTTAAATTTTGTTGTTATAGGTATAACAAATTATTACTGTTATTATTATGTTTATTAAACCAGTCTTTGCTTAAAAACATTAAAAATCATTTTCCTACATCCAAAATATTTTATTATCTAACATAACCTAACCTAACAACAGAATATTAATAAAAAAAAATGCAAAATATTTATACATACTATCGCTAACTAACTAAAGCCAAACAATAATATTCTTTGCTAATATCAGCTAATACCAATATATGGCAACAGCGCCCTTCATAATGTATTTTCTGTGTAAATACTAACACCTCAATAAAAAAAATAATATGTCCTTATCTTTATATGACTCCGCAAAAAATCAAAGATGCCGGCTTCTTCCATAGCATTGCCACCGACCGCTGTCGGGTTTCTCGGAAAGAAACCTACGTCGCCGGGCGACAACTAAAATCCAGTTAATATTTTATTATAATCGATCCTGACGAATAAATGAATTTGATAAATGAATGAATTTTATAAATGAATGGTTTTTGCTGCCGAATTACTAGAATACAATATTTCAAGGCAGATGACGCATCTATTCGATAATTTTTATTCGAATAGTTTTCAATGAATGTTTTTTTGCTAGCTATCGAATTATTCGAATGAATTGCAACTATCGAATGTTTCGATAGTATTCATTCGATAGTTCCCACTACTAGTTAAAACCTTAGATTAACAATAAGTTAAAACTGGGTATTAGTCGAAAATTCAATCTTCTGGAAAAAAACGAAATAAATATATTTATTTTTACAGCTAAGTAATCAGTTCATCAGATGAACAGTGTAGGGTAGAAGCACCGGTTGTGGCCAGGTTAAGGGATTTTTAGAGTTTGACTTATCAGAAAAAACATTTGTAGTTAATTTTGGAGATAAAACAAAATTTTTGGTGCTTCTCCAAACATTTTTCTTTCAAAATCTGCTTTTATTGTAAAGATTTGTATTCTTAATAAACAGAAAATAATTATTTTATGAAAACATACGATTTTTCCCATTTGTGGCCACCTTGTGCCAAATGTGGCCACATTTGCTACCATTTGTGGCCACATTCTTGCAAAAATATTCTCTATAGTCTGTAAAACGAATAACTTTGAATTTGACAGTTCCCGCGGGCTTTTATAGTGTTAATTTTATTAGGTTAGCAACTTGCGGCCATGCTGACGCAATGCCGTCTCTAATAGAACAGCCTCGGAGCGAGATTTATGACGTCACGCTAGTTAGATACTACAGATTAATAAATATGTTGTAGAATACATGGAAAACATAATTATTCCTCGTATTTTTAGTTTGTATTTTAAAAATGATATAGTTTACATGAAATATACATAATATACAGTTAATAAATACAATATATATACCTATTTATAGTAATAAATACTTTAGCAGATAAAACTATGAACCATACAAATGCAGCAAATGTTTTACAATATGGCTGAAATCGTACTCTATAGTCAATGTACATAGTTTTTGTGTTAAGAATAATAATTTAAAAAAATATGTGGTCCTCTTTTGACAAGTTTATATTAGTTTATTAATTGCAGTAAACATTATAATATATAAATAAATTGTACATCACTATTAGTAGATATTGAATGTTTTTTGTTAAATTAGATCGATTTTCGAACCCCAAAATTTAAAATATATTTTGCATTTTACCCATTATCTTATGTACCACCTATTCATTATTTGTATATTGTAAAACATTTGCTGCATTTGTGTGGTTCATAGTTTTATTTGCCAAAGTATTTATTACTATAAATATGTATATATTATATTGTATTTATTAACTGTATATTATGTATATTTTAAGTAAACTATATCATTTTTAAAATACAAACCAAAAATACGAGAAATAATTATGTTTCCATGTATTCTCCAACATATTTATTAATCCGTAGTATCAACTAGCGTGACGTCATAAATCTTGCTCCGAGGCTGTTCTATTAGAGACGGCATTGGTCTAATATTTTGAAATGTCAAAAGCTGATGACATTTTACTTTTGTCAATTATGACATTTCGTGTTGATTTTTGCAAAAAGAGGAAGAACTGTCACTTGTTTTATTATTTTCCTTTTCTATTTCACGAAAGTAAAAAGAGTTACCTATCTGATTCATTCAGGCACACAATTTAAAGAATATCAGTAACTTTTTTGATAGAGGGATTTTATATTTGCCCTGTTGGTAAAAAATAACGGTCAAAATTCAAAGTTATTCATTTTATAGACTATATATTGAATTTCGCAGATAACTAAGCAAATAATAATATTTTATTTATTACTTTCTTTAAAAAAAAGACATAAAAACAGACATTTGGTATTTAATTGTTTATATTTTTAACAAAAAAAAACATCAACGTTTATTCTTAAAACAAATCAAATGATACCTAATACCTTATTTTGTTTTTTATCTGTTATACATTATTAAATAAAAATTAGGTACATATTAATACTACTGTGAGGAACAATAAGAAAAGTACACTAATTTATAAGAATATTCTTGAATATTTGTTAGTTCAGGTAACCACCATACATTTCTCTTGAATTGACTTTTTTAGTTTCATCAATTTTCATTGTTATAATACTCAGTTTGTACCAAAGCAAGTCATTTTTACTTCCAACTGCCGCAGATTTGAACCATTGTGCAGCTATAATATTCAACATAATATTCATTATTTTCAATTTGTAATATTTTCCTGGATTCAACTGATTCCCGTACTTTAAAATAATAAAATTTTCTATATTTAATTCAGCAGATGTCACAGAAGTTTAAGCTGGCGTTGGTTTCTCTTTTTTATTTCTACTAGAAAGATCTTCATTTTCTTTAAATTTTATTTTAATTATTTTCTTTTTTGTAAAGTTTTCATTGCCAGTTTTTGTTTTTTTCTCCTTTCCCTTCATTAATTCAATCCACTTATCATATGTAATGACTGATGGTAGATGTAGCCTCTTTCTTTTTAAAGATTAACGTCTTCCCGGGCATCATCCTTATGTTCATAATTATGTCTACTAGTATTTTTCCTGCATGGTTTGGTCTAGTGGTCCTGAATCATCTTCCTTTGAATTCTCATAATTTTTATTTTTATCGCATTCGTTCATATTTATTCCATTTAGTTCTATATCTATATTATTTTCTATAATCGTTTTCTCATCTGAAGGAAAACTTGATGACGGTAGGTATATGTTCAGATTGGTAATCTTGGCCGATAATTGTATTTGGGATATTATTATAATTAGGTACTATTTATTATTCAGTTTTTATTAAAAGCTTGAATAATAAAATAAAATGTTCTTCATATTATGTTGTCCGTCGTTTGCACCTACATTATAAAGCTAAATAATATGTGGCCACAACTAGATTTCGATTGCTCCATTTTTGGCCATAACCTGGCTACAAGTAGAACATAATTAAAATTTAATTACACCTTTTG